TATTGCTCATAAACAATCAAAAACATGTCGCATAATTTGACGTCAATAAAAAAAGTTTGTGCATGTATGGACTGCTGATTGTCATTTGAAGGATTTTGAATCCAATGTAAACTACACTTTTGTGAAAGCCGAATCTCTAATATCCATCCAAAAATGACTCAATTCTGTTTAGTTTTTTGAATCATCTGCAAACAATATATAAATAAGCCAACTCCACCCTATTAAGTAAAATCTTTTTATCAGCCTCTTACCATTGGTATTTTGTTTTTTTTAATGTGAAATGATCAATTTTGGTCATTTAAACATGGAATAAGATAAGAAAAAGAAGACATTGTCCAAAATAACCCATTAGGATTATTAAAGATGGGTTCCCACATACAAACTGGGTGATTTAATGGTATATATGGACTAAAAACATATTCAAACTAATTAATTTGTCATAATTTTGCTTCAAATCCTTCTCAAACATTGTAATTGCGAAGGAATGTGCTGCTATAAAAATTCGATCAAACCAGGTCATGTTTATGTCAGGTGACTTAACTCTCTTGGAAGTCAGAGGAGAATTCATTGCATACATAAGACGATGTTGTCTTTAATCGCTTACTATTTATTACAAATATCAAATCCTTATTAAATTCTCGGATTATCCACTACCCGCGTCTTTTTCCTCATTTTTATCTCAGAAAATCTTGTACGTCTAACTCTTAATAAAGTTTATCAACTTGTACATCAAGCGCTCAATGTTCGCGTGTGACCTTTGACATCACGCGTGCAGAAATTCCTAATCGTCGGGCTGTTGATTAGGGGAACACTTATATTTTTGTCCTGTATACGCTCCATGAGTGTTTTTCGGGGAATCCAGTATTTTTCTAGTAAGATTGGATATCCCTACTTTCCATATATACCAAAATCACCCTACTTTTATTGGAAATAACCACCCGATAAATACTTTTCTGGGAACCCATCTTTAATAATTCAGTCTAACTAATTTTGAATTTAATATAAAATTAGAGGTTTATTGCCTCTTTTCAAATCTAGCACACTCATAAACAATAAGTTATGATTTTGTTTTAGCTTCTGGATTTAGATCTGAAATATCCGGACCCAGCACAAGTAAGTTCTTTTCAATTTGAAATTGAACAATAATGTTTTCCTATTTCCTACATACCATATTTTAAGCATTATCCTCTAGATTTATTGTTATAAGAGACAAAGAATAAAAACTATTGCTATTCCATTCAAATTATGAAATTTAACTACAGCAATATAGTGATAAATAAAACCAATCCCTATAGCAAACATAACCATGCCTCCTTGTATTAAGACCAAATGGGACAATATTCATGATTCTTGTTTCTACAATAGAAACAAGAATCATGAATATTGTCCCATTTGATCTTCCATATCCTTGACAACAATGTGACCATGCATCTTTCTCCGACAACCTACTGTAAGGAAATTTTACATATTCATCTGGTGAAATGTTCTAAAATTACTGACATCTTTTTCTATCAAAAAATAAGTTACATTTTGATTAAAAAACTTCAAATTTTACCATTTATTGAATGTTTACCTCATTAATTACCTTCTGTAAATATTTTCCCCAGTTATAGGAAGCAACTCTATAAAAATTAATTGAAGTGCAATCAAAACTGATAAATGTTACTGGCAATTATAAATGATGCTGGATCATACATTCTTATAAACAACATGACGAGATTGATATAGCTCCTTGAAATGTGATGTTTGTGAGAAGTCATTTAGCTCAGGTGTGATCCTTTGACAAAACAAAAATGCAGCTATCACATTCTAAATGTATTTATAATTACAGCATGTTCATTTATGTTTAGGTGGCTGAAAAGATGTTTAATTGTGTTTGGAAACAATTAACTGAAGTTTTATTGGTTGATTCTGGTGTCGATAAGTTATCTCCCCATGAACAAGATTTATTAGATCATAATGCGTTTCTAGCTAATCATATGTCTGTTTATTGCGGTAATACTGATTATATTCATCAATTAAACGCTACTATAGGTATGTACAAAAATATTATATATCAGGTATTATTGGCCCGAGTGGTAAAATTCAATTTTAAGTCACATTTTTATTGGCTTGAATGGTAGAATCCAATTTTAGCTCAAGGTTTTATTGACTTGAGTGGTAAAATCTGATTTTAGCTCATGTTTTTATATTTACTGGGTGGTAAAATCTGATATTTGCTCATGTTTGAATTTGCTGGCTCTTAAAATCCAATATTAGCTCATATTCCTATTAGGTGGCTGGTAAAATCCAATTTTAGCTCATTTTTTATTGGCTAGGTAATAAAATTTTATTTTATTTTAGCTCATGTTCCTATTGGCTGGCTGGTAAAATCAGATTTTAGCTCATTTTTTATTGACTAGGTAATAAAATCTGATATTGGCTCATCAGACGCACATCCAGAGGGGAGGGGTGGGGTGTAAAACAACCATTTTTATGAGAAAAGTATCATAATTGTGCTTTATCCTTTATCATCAGATGGAGCGACAGGATGGGCACTCAAAGCCCGAGATAATGATATAGACATATGTGATATCACAATTAATGCCCCCTCCTGCAAAAATTCCTGGATCCACCCCGGCTCATATTTTTATTTGTTGGGTAGTAAAATCTGATTTTAGTTTATATCCATGAAAACGACAGTAAATAAACTTTTTAATTTATACATCCTTGAATAAACACATTACATTATTTAATTGAAAGCATTAATGTGGATTTATTATAATTTTAGATTCCAAGAAGTCTCTGTTAGTATCAGGTATTGCTGGAAGTGGTAAATCTGCGTTATTAAGTAATTGGGTGGAAGATTTAAAGAAAAATACAGATCTAATTCTTGTCTATCATTTTATTGGCTGTTCATCAAATAGCACCAGTAAGTTATATACCCATACCACTTTCTAATCTATGCTTTTTCAAGGGAACTCACTCTCTCGCCATGCACATGGTCTCACTCCACTATACAAAATACAACTTACACCACAAATTCACACAAACTGGACAAAATTATAAAATAGGCCTACAATATTCATGCTTCAATCCTTCCCCTTGCCCCCGCCCCCCTCCCACAAATTGTTTGACCACAACCTATATTTTCAAACACATGTTTTGTAGAAAAAATGAAAAGCATAGGCCTGGGGATTTTTATAATATTTTGCTGTTAAACTAATAGATCTATTGTATATTGTAAGACTGTTACCTTCAAAGATCTATTCTACGTCCCTCTGGGATTCTTGGTTCCCCTTGTCAGTGATGCAGGACGGATGGCCTGACAAGGACAGTTGTCTAGTGGTTCGGATGGTACAAAAAACCGAGGTCCCTTGTATACTTTGGCGTGCACGTAAAAGATCTCTTGACAGTTGGAATTTGATATAAGAGAAGGCCGTAGTGCCGCTGTCTGGGCAAAATTTCCCTCATAGTACACTGTATGGCATATGCCTGTCTTCATTAGCACAGTTCGGAGCAGAACAGTTGGACGTAAAACACTATTTCATTTCCATCTGGGATCTGCACCTTAAGCAGCAATTAGTTAGCTTAATGGTAGCACCAGCCTTGTTTCTATTTTCCCTACATTTATACTTCAGGACCAATGAATATTGTAGAGAGACTACTACATGAACTAGAGCATCATTTACCCGTGGATGACAAAAAGGAGAATAAGAAAAGCATAAATAAAGATCTCAAAGCAGCTGATCTGCAGAAACTTTTACAAGATCTACAGGTTGTTATGGAGAAAATCAGTAGTCGGGAGAAACAGGCTGTAATTATTATTGATGGATTGGATAAACTGATGCAGACTAATAAAACTGAAAAGGTAAGGAAGATGTACTTGTGAGTGTGACTGATTAGAAAGATCTTTAGAGATTTTATTTTTAAATTTGCTGTTTAACAAGGATTGCTAATTTTGGCTGTGAAAAATATATATTTTGTGTGTAGAATTAGTTTCTAAAATTTGAACATATAAAATATATTAAACAAATTCTACCCCAACTTATTTCCCAATATGGACATGGTCTTTCATCTGAACTTATGTTTAAAATAAGTTTGTATTGATTTCCCTAAAAATGAACAAGGTCTTTCATCTGAACATATGTTTAAAATGAGTTTGTATTAATTTCCCAAATATGGACATGGTCTTTCATCAGAACTTATGTTTAGAATGAGTTTGTATTGATTTCCCAAATATGGACATGGTCTTTCATCTGAACTTATGTTTAGAATGAGTTTGTATTGATTTCCCTAAAAATGGACATGGTCTTTCATCTGAACTTATGTTTAAAATGAGTTAGTATTAATTTTCCAAGATGGAAATGGTCTTTCATCTGTACTTATGTTTAAAATGAGTTAGTATTAATTTCCCAAATTATAGAAAATTTACATAACTGGATATTTTTTCATCAGAATTGTGGTGCCAATGTGGAAAACTGTAGGAACCATTAGATGAAGAGGTAGTTAATAAAATATAAAATTTAAATACATTTCAGCCCTTATATTGGTTGCCCAATGAAATTCCAGGTAATATAAGTATTATATTATCTACTATAGAAGGTGATATGGAACTTCATACACAACTTGTTACAGAGAGAAAGTTTAATCAGTTGAATATACAACCTTTAGATCCTGCTACACAACAACTCATATGTACTGTAAGTTACATATTTTAGACCATGAACATCGACCTAACACACTGCACAGTAAATTATTATTGCACATAGGTATCTTTAGCAGTGGATGGAAACCAGAGGACCCAGAGAAAAAACACAAGAATGGACAGGCGACCCTACTTCCTGTGATATCAAAACCTTGCCTCTTGACTCAATGACAGACCTTACGATCAAAACCTTTCGGCAACCTACCCACCCTTTTTCTGGGGACATGTCCATGAACCTTATTGGAGTAGGAGTCTCATGGCTTTGTTGCTAGCATCCCACATACATCTCATCAACACATAAGCATCCTCTTTGATATTTCCTGGATCCGTCCTGTCACTTTTTCCATGTTTTAAAGGACTTGAAATTTTCTTTGTTTAGAAAAGTTTAATGATGTATGGAAAAGAGTTATCACCTGATCAGATGAAACGTGTTATCGATGCTGAACAAACACAGAATCCACTGTTTCTTATGATTACTGTATCTGTAAGTCATGTTGTTTCTTATTACTATATCCATAAGTAATGTTGTTTCTTATTACTATATATCCATAAGTGATGTTGCTTCTTATTACTATATCCTTAAGTAATGTTGTTTCTTATTACTATATATCCATAAGTAAAGTAATGTTGTTTCTTATTACTATATTCATAAGTAATGTTGTTTCTTATTACTATAAGTAATGTTGTAAGTAATGTTGTTGCTTATGATTACTGAGAGTGTAAGTAATGTCCTTTTCACATTTTTTATTATTTTTCCTTTCCAGGAAATTGTTGTATTTGGGTATTTTCGTCTCCTTGACAAGAAAATTGATTCTTTGATTACATGCAATAGGTAAATATATTGTCTACATAAATAATTAAACCAAACCATTGATTTCAAAGTCAACCTTGCAAGGGGTTTGTTTCTTTGGTTTCCCCCTTACAGCTAAAGCACCGGAAGCATTTTGCTGTTTTATGTTTAAGTTACCCATTTAACTTTGAGCACAGAGTCCATCACATTTTTTTTCTAAAACTTGTTTTGTGGAATTTAATGAAATGATTTCAGAATTAGCTGCTAGCCTCTGACTGTGTTTCCTCTCTTCTTTTTATTTTTTACAGTGTTCAAGAATTGTTTGAGAACTACCTTCAAAGACTGGAAGAGGATTACAATGTGTCTACATTCCCAGGAAATTTAGTTGAAAAGGTTAATGACATCTTTATATAATCTGGGCTTATGAAGAGGGAAATTTGGCATGGACAGCAGCGCTACGGCCTGATCTTATTTCGATTTCCAACTGTCAAGGGTTCTTTTTACATGCATGGTAATGCGTACTAGGCCCTCCATCCTGCACCACTGCAAACCTGGATATATCAAAATATCAGGCTGGTACATTTAACTTTGTGGCAAACATGTATTAGAAATATCAATAAAACCCCAGAAAAAAAGACAAGTATGTGCCAGAAAAAATGAAAGGCACCAGAGGAATTTTGCTAGACATTGTCAGTGAAATTTGGCTTATTCCCATGCCTGAAGGGGAGGGGGGTCTAGTGATTTAACATGTGCGCATGAAATCACAAGGTCTGTCGTTGAGTCAAGCGGAGTGATTTTAATTGCCCATTTGAATGTAACAAGGAGTAGGGTTGCTTGTCCACTTTTGTGGGTTTTCTCTTGGTCCTCCGGTTTCCTTCCACTGCTAATGTCCCAAAGTGGACTTTAAACCCCATTTCTCTCTCTCTCCAGGCTTGAAGAGGGAACAATTTTCTTATAAAACTGGCAACTTGTCTTATGTGTCTGGATAAATTTTGTAAAAATTAATTGGAGACACTGACTTCTAGCTATCTCCTCCTACATTCTTTAAAGCAATGCTTACCGAACAGTTTGGGGAGTTGGGTGACTGAATGGTCTAACCTGTGAACTTTAGATCATAAGGTCTGTCATTCAGTCTCTCTCTTCGCTCTTGAAAATATTAGTCGGTTTTTATTTCTGGTTTACATAAATATATATAGTGATCTAGAATTTGAGTCAATCTAATTAAAATATAAATCTATATTTCGTTTCGTTTTTTATACTTTCGATGGCCTACACTACATGAAGATCTAACAAGTTATAGTGGGAGTTCATGTTCTATGACGTCAGGTACCAAGCAAGCAACATTTGACCCGAATACGTCAGTCATTCGATTAACCAATTAGCGACCGCCATGTATTTTTTATCTACTTTTGCTTTGTTTTGATTTCTATTGCCGCTAATGTCTACCCACAGTTCCGCGCAAAAAAGGTCAAACGCTTGATTCGACAGACCATTTGATTGGCTGACCCCTCATTTCAAGCAGAACACGAGTTAAATAACAATGCTTCCTGATCCAAGTAGTAAAGACAAGGAAAATCGAAATTTTGAACTATAAAAACGAAACGAAATTGGATCTGTGTTTTAATCAGATTGGAATTTAAGTGTTTTGATATTAGTTTACGAAATTAAAATTATATTTTTCTCTACAGGTATTATTAGCCATACTATTTTCACGCAGTGGAATATCTGAAACAGAATTAAAAGAGATTCTTACTATTCCTGATTCTATTTGGTCACCACTGTATTTTGCTATGGAGAAATACGTCATTCAACATTCTGGTTTGCTAAAGTAAGTTTTTGATACCCATCAGCAGTAGATAAATTAAAAATAGATTTTTAAAAATATCGGAACACCGTAAACTATTTATAGGGGTAATCTACTAAAGCATAAAATGGATTCCCATTTATGGCAAGGGATGGGGGCTTTTGTGTAGAATTTTTCACCACAAGAGTTCCTCAAGATATTGGACAGAAGTTTGACTAAATAAATCTCATTAGACTGTTCCAAAGCCCCCCAAAGCTTGCCATGTCCTGAAACCCAATGTTACTTTTAAATTAACCAAATGCAGGGTCATCTTAAGAATATTCAAGGGCCTGGTCAAAGCAATGTACTGGGGCCCCGCAACTCCATGACATTGAGATTAAATTCTTTGATTGGGAAATTTGTGGCATTTCATCACAGTTGATTACTAGTTGGTTACTGAGAGTATGTGTTTTTGAGAATGTTACTAGACTGTCATTCTCTCACAATTATTGCATCTCACATTAATTTCTGGTTAGAGTATGTAAATATTATTTCTATTTTACAGCTTTGGCTTCAAGGAGCTAAAAACAGCTGTAGAAAAAAAATATCTAAAATCTCCACAAGATGGGTAAGTTCAGCAATTATTATCCCGGGCCGACATGGGTAATTTATACCACAAGTTAATAATATTCTTAATCGAAATCTGTTTTATAACAGTAACATATTTATCTTACTCTATACAATATTCAGGGGGGGTTTGTAGCTAAATAGTAAACGCGTTTGTGTTGCATCATAAGGTCTGTCATTGAGTCAAGTGGCATGGTTTTGATTCCCCACTTGTATGTGACAATGAGTGGGGTCGCCTGTCCAACCTCGTGGGTTTTCTCTGTGTCGTCCGGTTTCCTCCCACTGCTAAAAGACCCCCAAGGTCCCGAAATGACCTAGTTTGTGTCGAGTGAACGCTCTCTATACAATATCCACTTAACCATAGAGCAGGCCTCATCATGCGATGTTATCCAGTCCTAAATCTTAATGGGAAATAACCTCTCCCACTTTCTGGGTACACCCTTCCATCAGCATAATGTCCAAGTAGAATTTAAAATGCTAGAATTTATCAATACAGATTGATTCTTATTTTATCAGATTGATTCAAAGAAAGTTGAAAACCTAAAAATTACTTCTACTGTCACATTTATTATATAAATATATCAGACTTTTTTCTATGTTCTTGATTTTCATTGAACATTTTCTTTCAGAAAAACAATTTTAAAGCAAATGATTGAATATTTTGAGAAGAAAAGGAAGGTTGGTATTTATTTTTTTTTTTTTTAAATCCCAAATTTAAACTGTTTCTTTTTTGGTATATTATACTCAAATAATGTGAAAAGATTAATCAGAAATTAACTACAACGATCCTACATCAGCTAGGTGTATATTTTACACAATAAGACATAGTAATTTTTTTTTCCTCCCATGAGGAAGCAAAAATTGGTGTGGCCTAAATATGATTTAACACATTGATAGTTTTTTTGTGTAATAAAACTTAAAAACTGATTAATAAATTGAGATAATACCAAAATTTGTCACATTCTTTCAAAAGATGTGTGAATGGGATTATCTTGCTATTTATTTTTCATTTGAACATCTGATACCACTTATAGTTTTACCTAAGTATTTATTGCACAACCAATTATAATTGAGAGAGAATGATTAATATATTTAAACAGGGATTTAACTGGTCTGTACTGCATGGTGATCATGATATTAGTCGCTGTAGCATAGAACTACCATTTTTACAAAAACAGATTGGAGATAATGAAGGTCTTCTTACTACCATTACAGATTTTACTGTCTTTCAGTCTCTGTTTCAGTGAGTATACTGAGTATTATACTGTCTACAATAGGGAGGGGGGGGGGCGCTTTAGATCATAAGGTCTGTCATATAGTCAAGTGGCATTGTTTCGATCCAACCATGTATGCTAGTCCTGAAATAAGCTGGTTCGTGTCGATTTGATGTTAAACCTCAATTAAACCTCTCGCTCTGTCTTCAGTGAAAGATCAATGATCACAATACTTGTGTCAGTGGGAGACCAACATTTAATGGAACCTGAAGCTTGAACTGTTATAACCCCGTTTACATTACAAATTTTAAGCGTACCAGGCACCGTGTACGGCACCCTTCGTAGTGTAAACGGGTCAAACGTAAGCGTGCCGCACCTGGTACGGTGCCAATCTGGCCCACTGAAGTGAGGTGGTCAAACGTAAGCGTGCCGTGCCTGGTACGGTGCCAATCTGGCCCACTGAAGTGAGGTGGTCTCAGAACAGTACCAGGACCGGCTCACTTTAAATTTTCGTAGTGTAAACGCTAATCGGTCTGATCACGGATAACTGCGCATGCGCCAAATGAACCTTGACCTTTTTCCCTGCAAACTTTGACAGCTCTGTCATCAGTTCTGTCAAAATGGTTGCTCAAAAGTCAAACTAAATCAACCATCAAAATTGTTTTCATCTGGGTGATTTGTATAGGGACTGAAATTAACTTTTCTGTGAAGAGTTCCACATTTAGCGTGCTTGGCACGGTTATTTAAGAGTAATGTAAACAGGTCAATTTCTTGAAATTTATCGCGGCCTGGTACCGTGCCCAGAACAGCACGCTAATCGCGGCCAAGTGTAAACGGGGCTTATGACAGACCTTCTTAATCAGCAACTAGGTCTTGATAACCACTGTTATCCTGAGAAGGTTGTTTAAATCATCAAATGGTATATATTGAAACCAATTTATAAAAATTACATAAATGACATTATTAGATAGGTAACTGAACATTTGTGTATATATTTAAACCAATTTACAAAAATGTTTATCATCATAAAATGACATAATTGGCATTGTTAGAAAGGTAACTGAACATTTGTGCATATCCATATTTGTTTCCACAATATTGGTTGTTAAAGAGAAAAATTGTTGATTTCTTAGCAATAAATGCAGTATTTGGGGTTTTTTGGGGGTAATAAAGCATAAATTGATGTATGAAAGAATTGTCATGACTGATGATATAAAGTTTTATTTGAAGTGGTTTTAAGATATACCAGTTAGCTTTCAAAATGATATCCATCTATTTCAGAGAACACAATTATGAAATTATTGAATTATGGGAAGCCACAGGTTGTGATACTAGTGAAATCATTGATCGTTATTTGACAAACTTTGATGTACGAATAGCCGATATCTACCTCAAAAGACAACAAAATCAAGATGAAAAACATTCCAGTCCTCCGGGAGTTGAGGTAATGTAAAAAGCTTACACTTTGATTGATGAAAATTTACATTTACATTATATTTAGAATCTAGTTGTGTGGATAGTATAATAAAATACATATTGTAGTAATGAAGTGAACTGAAATGAAATGAAATGAGGTTTAACATCCTACTGTTCTGCTCCGAACTGGGCTAATGAAGACGGGCATACGCCCTACAGTGTGCTATGAGGTAAATTTTGCCCGGACAGCGGCACTGTGGCCTACTCTTATATTCCAACTGCCAAGGGATCTTTTACGTGCACGCCAATGTGTACACAGGACCTCGTTTTTTCGTCCCATCCGAATGACTAAACAGCTGTCCTTGTCAGGCCCTCCATCCTGCATCACTGAAAAGGGGGAACTATGCAGGAAAATCTGGATGGAATTTCACGGCCAACGCAGGGATCGAACACCCAACCTCCAAGCTAATGAGCCAGCGTCTTACCCACTTAGCCACCATGATCCCCCAGTATGAAGTAATAAAGAAAGTGAATATAAGAATCTAGTTGTGTGGATAATATAATAAAATACATATTGTAGTATTGAAGTAATAAAGAAAGTGAATATCATTTTAATTATAGGCATCTCAGTTGTTGACAGATTTAAGGATTATGTTAGGATATGTCCAAAAACCAGTTGAAGGAATTAAAATTATGAAAAGACAAATACAAGTACTAGTAAGTAATGTCAACTCTTCATGTTAGAAATATTTTTCTGTATAACAGATAGTCTGCCATCGACAGTAATTTCAGGGAGCCACGGTGGCGCAGTGAGTAAGATGTCGGTTCGCTAACCTGGATGTCTCGTGTTCCATCCCTGTGTTGGCTGAGAAAGTTCATTGGGATTTTTTTGCGTGGTTCCCCTTTGTCAGTGGTGTAGGATGGAATGCTTGGCAAGGGACAATGTATAGTCATTCTGATGGGACTAAATAATAAGGTCCTGTGTCCACATTGGTGTGCATGTAAAAGAACCCTGGACAGATGGAAATTGAAATAAAAGTAGGCCATAGCACTGCTCTCCGGGCAAATTTTGGCGTAAATGTCAGTCTTCATTAGTTCAGTAGGTGCAGAACACTAGGACATTAAACCCCATTTCATTTCATTTCAGGGGGGGTTGGATGGCTAAATGGTTAGTGTGTGAGCTGTATCATAAAGTCTGTCATGATCATTGAGTCAACTGGCGTGGATTTGAATCCCCGGTTTCTCCAGGTCCTCCGGTTTCCTCCCACTGCTAAAGACCCCTATGCGCAAGCGAATTATTCAAATAAAATTAAACCATATGTTAGTCCCGAAATTACCTATTTTGTGTCGAGTGGACGTTAAACCCCATTTCTCTCTATCTCTCTCATTTCATTCACTTCACAGTTTTATATAATTATTATATATTTTAGGAGAACAGTAAAGGATATATGGATGAAAATAAAAGACAAGAGGCCCTAGTTAGATGTCAATATTTCTTAGCAGCACAATATGTAGAAATGGAAGATTATGAAACTGGTGTACCAATCCATGAAAAGATTATTTCAGATCTAGAAAAGTATGAATATAATTTGTTTATATGAAGTACCATGAGATAAAGCCAACTTTTTACATTAGCAATGGTAAAAAAACTGGGGCATATACAAATAAAATGAAATGGGGTTTAACGTCCTAGCTCCTACTTGGCTAATGAAAATGGGCATACACCATACAGTGTGGTATGAGGGGACATTTTGCCCAGGCAGCAGCACTATATATATGTTTTACTCTTATTTCGAATTCCAACTGCCAAGGGATCTTTCACATGCACGCCAATGTCTACACAGGACCTTAGTTTTTTGTCCCATCCGAATGGCTAGACAACTGTCCTTGTCTGCACCGCTGACAAGGGGAAACCATGTCGGAAAATGTCGATGAAGTGGGACATATACAGAATATGCTAATAATATTACATGGGAATAAGGGATGGGGAGACAGATTTTTCTAGTGAGTTAATTTTTGTCTGCAGAACAGTTGGAGTCAAATGAACAAAAGTCGGTCATCATATAGCAAACCCAGAAGACAAACCCATGGTCAAAACGAAAAAAAACCCCACCCAACATGTACCACATACACAAATAGTAATAATAAAAGTACTATCAAACTAATTAGTGAACTGGGCCCTGTTTCTCGAAATCTTAACTAAAGTTAAAATCCAAATTTTAGTAGGTACTTCAATTTTGATTGGCTAAGCACTAAAATCAATCTAATATTATCAAATCAAATTACTAAAATTTGGATTATATTTTAGTTAAAATTTCGTGAAACAGGCCCCTGATCTGGGACCACACCCATTTGATTTTCTATTCTTCGGGAACACCAGTTCAAAATATTCTTCTTATTTCTTCAAGAAAAAGAATATTTAAAAACACAACAGTACTTGGTTAATGCCCTGCTTAAAAGTTTTTTGTTCCAAATTTTTAAGTTTTGAAATTTTAAACAAAACATCTTTCATGTGATTCAAGTGTCTATTTATTTATCAAGACCGTGAAGAACAGGTAATCAAATTGGTGTGACCTTTCTTAAAAAAATCAAATTGGTGTGGCCTTTCTTGAAAAAATCAAATTGGTGTGGCCTTTCTTGAAATTTGTATTAGATTGTGACCCCGAAGAACAGAAAATCAAATTGGTGTGGCCTTTCTTGAAATTTGTGTTAGATTGTGATTATTTTATTTCAGATTAAAAGAAGCTGGAAATATAAGTATAGATAGTTTGATTGTTTTAGCCATGTCCTATAACGATATTGGTGTTACGTTAGTCAGCAGGAGAGAATATGAAAAAGTTAGTACATTTATATGTGATCAGCTCTGGCTAAATGAGACAGGAAAATCAAAACACATCAACACATTTATTCAAAGACCCCTTAGTACACATTAAAAAAAATGGCTGAGATTTTTAGCGTTGAAGTTAGAATATCAACATTTACTTTATCAACGAGTGTTGATATTTTTGGATATCAATACAGATGAGTAGAAGATCCTTTCTTACATCCATAGTTTCATTTTAATTCACCAATCAGATTCATGTATGGTGATATCACCTAGTAGAATTAGAGTTATCAAAGGTTATTGTTATTGGGTGATAAACCGTAATATTAATTTTAAAAACACAATTCGAAAATTACTAAACGAAAGAAAAGGCTCCTGCCATAGCAACCAAAAATAGAGATTTAATTTATTGTATTTATTTAAATATAAAGAATTTGGTGACCCTTCGGAACTACATCTTATAAAATTGTATAGCCGTCCGATGCAAAAGTTCTTAAATGTGAATCCATTTATTTATTTAAACTTTATTTTGAATACAGGCAGAGAAATATTTCTATAAAAGTATGGAGATAGAATCAGTAGAAGGTTTAAGACAAGAAGAAGGAGAATGTTTAATGAATATTGCTTTATGTCGATTAGAACAAGGAGACACTGACAAAGCTTTAGAGTTGTACCTGAAAACATTAGAAGTGAGTATGAACAGATTCTAATTACCGCAAGTTAAGTGTGCATCAAGTTTCTATTAAAACCAAGGATTTTAATCCATTTTTAAACGAGTGAGTCTGGATTGGGTCAAAAGGGGTCCAGGGAGAAAATACGTTAATTATAAGCTTCCATTCCCTTTAATATAACCAGACTTCAACAAATATAATTTGGGGTCATTTGTTATGTAGAATGTCCTATTCTGAATAGGCTAATATATATATATATGATTACCATAAAAATAACGACAAACAGGTACACCTGCTCAAAATTTTCATTATTTAATTTACCAAACGGCTTCAAGTTCACATCAATAATATCCTGACTAAATGACAGTCCTTGTTTTTTTCAATGGATAAATCGAAACGTTTGTGATAAGAATAGTTCACCAGTCCTCAAAATTAGGATTTTCTGTTATGGTGCGATCACGTTATAGTCATAAATAAAAAATCACTACAACTATGTCATAATGACACGATTTGTTTTGATGGGGTTGGGTGGTCTAGTGGTTTAACACGTGCGCGTGAAATCATCAGGTCTGTTATTGAGTCAAGTGGCGTGGTTTCGATTTCCCACTTAGACGTGACAAGGAGAATGGTCACCTGTCCAACCTCTCGGATTTTCTCCAGGTCCTGTTTCCTCCAGCTGCTAAAGAAAGGTCCCTATCTTAGTCCTGAAATGACCTCCTCTCTCTCTCTCTCTCTCTCTCTCTCTCTCTCTTATCTTTGAACTTATAATTGCAATTCACACCTGCTGATCCTTCACCGATTTTCAACTGATCATTTGAAACATTTGTCATATGATAATCTTGATTGATCCAGCTTATTTCTTTTATTACATTTTATTATAGATCTGCAGCAGTGTCATGGTTATCTTGATTAATCCAGCCTATTTCTTTTATTACATTTTATTATAGATCTTTGAAGATGTATTTTTTGGTCAATTGAATCACAATCTGGGACAATTGATGACTAATATAGGTTTAACTTACAGACGACAGAATAAATTAGAAGAAGCAGAAATATATTATAACAGGTATTTTATTTTTAACTAGGACTTTGTTCATACTAGAATTAATATACTGATCCATTTGATGCCAGTGGGGAGGTGCAGTGACTCAGTGAAGGAGTCAATGGCTTGCTTACCCGAAAGTCCTGCATGCACTCCCTGTGTTCGCCTAGAAAGTTCATCAGAATTTTCCGGCATGGTTCCTGCGTGTCAGGGATACAACGCAGGGGGCCTTTGGATGGGCCTAAAACCGAGGTCCGTTGTACACATTGGCATGCATATAATAGAAGCCTTTGTGGATGTAATTGGATATCAGAGAACAGGCTGTCAGCTGTAGGGTCACTGCTCGGGCAGAATTTCCCACATAGCACACTGTATAGCGTATGCCCTTCTTTATTAGACCGTCAGAACAGAACAGTAGGACGTTAAACCCTATGTCATTTAATTTTTTTGATGCAAGGGAATGAGTAATTTGCTTCAAGTAAAGACTGTGTTCATATCACTTTTAGCAGAAACAAATAAACTGAACCAAATATAAAATGAAAGAAATGGTAGAAAGATTCATCCTCTTGTACAAATTGGACATATATATTAAAGCTACATTATGGAAGATTTGATAACGAGTTGGCAGTTTTCACTATAATAGTTAAAAACTAGATAATGTAAAGGCAATTTGCTGAAAATTTCAGTCAAATTGATCCACTATGAACCGAGAATTAAGCTATTGAAATTTCCACTAGCCTAGATCATCATTACTAAAGTCGATACGATAAAAAGCATAGTCTCGATTATCCATTTAATAATTAAATCGTGAAAGAAAGTTATGCGGTAAATCGGAACATAATCCACTAAAGATCGCAGGCTAGCGATGCCATCGAGAGTTGATTATGGTCTGGATAATTTAATTAATGTCTAATTAATTTAGATAACATTTCAGGTCTAAAGAAAGACCTGCAATAGGCAGATTTAGCTCTTGCATAATGTATGTTTAAATTTACAATAATTGGACAAAGCATATTTTACACGAATAGTTTTTGAATTATACTTTTCAGATCTCTGAAGATAAAAGCTCAAGCTCTAGGTTGGGATAATCCTGATGTGGCCTATGTTTATATGAATCTGTCTGTTATTGAACAACTGAGGAGCAATCTACCTAAATCCATTGAACTCATAACTAAGGCTGAACTCATATTTAAGGTGATTGATTTTTGTATCAGGGTGGGTGGGATGGCCTAGTGGTCAAGAGTTTCACCTTTCTAGCTATAGCTGGCCGGTCACCTGGTGTGAGCATATGTGGCTTGGAAATAGGGGCGTCTTCTTAACCTGTGGGTTTATTCCGGGTACTTTGGTTTCCTCCCACAGGAAAGACCCCTGCGCATACGCTAAGATAATAGAAATGAAAAATAAGACAACTTGTCGGCGATATCACCTTCGGTGGAAGAGGACGTTAATTACTAAGAACAACAATTGTATCTATATATTATAATGGGAGCTAAAGTGGATTGGTGAGTAAGCCATTTTAGGCTACTAATAATATGAGTAATTCTCATAAAATGTATTTCAACATCAGTGTTCTTTGCTGTCTGAGGTGGAATTGTGATGATATTGATCGAAATTGACCCATTAAGACATAACTTTGCCTAACAGTTATAGTTCCAATATTAAATAACAAGACAAAATTTTATAAGATTTGTTTGATTTTATTCTTTATAGAAAAGAAATGCTGATTTATACACAAATGCTAATTATCGTAAAGTATTTGAAAACCGAGTATTATATATAGTACTTCAAGAAAGATATGAAGACGCAGAGGAAGAATATCAAAAAATCTGTAAGTTACTAACAGTATACTACAGGGATCTTAATAATTAGCTGTTTTTTGTCGGCTTTCGTCGCTATAGTATCATAACTCAATTATTACTTGTTGATTAAAAAGTCGACTACAATAACAGTCATACCTTTAGTGAGAATCGGACATGAGGTTTATAATCCGAGTAATTAGCACATTTAACGGTAATTTTGATAATCCAGTCAAAAAACAAAACAAGCTTGCTGATTATTCATTACAGTTCCAGTAAGCTGCCTTTATGAAAATAAGCTACGTTATTAATGATGATCTCAGCATGGATTGTGAATCTCGGGAATTGCGCGTCTTTGACGCTCCGTATATAGACTGTACCTCATTAATACGTTGTAATGTACAATAGAGAGTGAGATGTGGGGCTTAATGTCCACTCGACACAGTTAGGTCATTTCGGAACTAACACATGGTTCTCTTGCGCGTAGGGGTCTTTAGCAACCAGAGGAAACAGGAGAACCCGGAGAAAACCCATAAGGTTGGACAGAGGCCCCACTCCTTATCATGTACAAGCAGGGATTCAAAACCATGCCACTTGATTCCATGACAGACCTTCTGATCTATAGTGCACATGTTAAACCATTCGGCCACCCAACTCCCTGTAATGTACAAGGCTTTCATGTCCATCAGATTTAAATGCCAGGAAATAAGTCTTGAGAATCAAACTTTTAAATTTATAGTTTTTAGATACCAACATTTAATGTGAACATAATACAATTTTTTGTAAACATTCTGCTGGTCAGATTTCTTTAAGGGTTTTTCCAAATTTGCAGGAATTGTTCATTTGATCATGAAAATAAACACTATCAAAATTCAAATTGCAACTCTATCTTATCTGTTATGGTTCTTTTTTTTTCCAGTAAATGTTTTGATGGATAAAGGATTAATGGATTTTTGTTTAAAGGGATTACATCTTGAAATGTTAAAGTTTTATATTCGATCAGAACAGTATGATAAAGCTACAAAGACAGCACTGGCAATATTAAGTCGGGCGAATCCAGAACCTACAGATTTTACATATCTCGACCATTTAGATGCCTTGAAACCGATAGAAGAGAGACCTCAAAGAGAATATAAATATTCACTAGAGCGTGCTTTTGATTTGTAAGAATCCACTATACTTTTTTAAAAATAATGTTTCTTTTATAATTCATGATTGTCCTTCTATATCTGAGAATCTAAAATGTATTTATGGGGTACATGATTAAATGTTCTGCAAATGAATTCTCTCAATCCAAAAATAGTGACAATCGATTGAAAAGGTGAATTTCGGGCTACACCGCATGCATCGACTGAATAAGTAAATATCTCAACCAACCATGCAGCCGAAACATATTTGTTGTGTTTAATTACGTCACGATTCTACTCACACCACCTCCGTTGTAGGGACTGACAGAACTGTGACAGAACTGAATTCCATGTTACTCGATTGCAATTCTGTCATTTCGGGAAGTTCTGGACTGACAATCGAGGATCCCCTGTGTGTTCTGTTCTGGAGAACACAGCCTCTAAACAAAAAATAAACACAAGATGATTGGTGTGAAATGTCATTTATTAAATGACATCTGAGGTACAGGTTCTGACAGTAATTATATATACATGTAATTTGGATTTGTGATTATTAGAACTATCGAGTAATTACCAGAAGAATGAAAAATAATCAAACTGAATCAAAACCATGCTTTCTGATCCATAATATTTATGCTCCTCTGAGCTGGATCAAAAACTGATGTTTCAAAGACTTTTTTTTTTTAAAGAAAAAGTACTATAAAAAAGCAATGGATTATGTTATAGGTCAGATTAATTAATACCAAGAGGATAACAGTAATCAAAAAATACACTTTTAATGAATAATAATTACTATGGTTTATTTCACTGCGATGTTTCAACAATATTTCACAAGCATATACACCAATATCTATTTGTGTAAATGCTTGATAACGACTTGAAACGTTGCAGTGGAAAAAACCATAGTAATTGTTATTCCATAAAAGTGTGTTATTTGATTATATGTTCCAATTACTAAATGCCATTCAAAGGATACCAGTAATTGATCGTTATTTAGGGTTGGTAATTTGAAAACAAACACGGCATGTAAAATGTTCTACGACCAATTTGGGATGTTCGCCCTGCAAACACAGCATATGAAATGTTTGACTACCACTGAACGTCTTTCAAGACCTATGATACCAGTAATAGGATGTTATTTGGGTGTTCGCCCTGCAAACACAGCATGTGAAATGTTTGACTACCACTGAATGTCTTTCAAGACCTATGATACCAGTAATAGGATGTTATTTGGGTGTTCGCCCCTCAAACACAGCATGTGAAATTGTTGACTGCCAATAAACATCTTTCAAGACCTATACCAGTAATAGGATGTTATTTGGGATATTCGCCTCGCAAACACAGCATGTGAAATGTTTGACTACCATTAAATATCTTGTCTTTCACGAGCTAACTATAATATTATTTTATTATAGATGGCCAGATAATGGTGATATTGGGCGAAGATTAGCGAGGAATAACTACATACCCCGTAATCTTACTGATAAATTACTCCAACATTTACAGAAAATTGATAAAAATGTGGAAGGACTTGGGGCAATGACTTACGGATATGCTTCAGATTGGTGCTGCGAAGACCAGAAATCAGATTTAGCTTTAACTGTTCTAAGAAAGGGTTTTGAAATCTATCCAGATTCCATGGTAGGTTTGGTTATTTGCCCCCCAAAAATAGAGTTAGTCGGAAAAAACTTTTTTTATTATTTTTTTTTTTCAAGAGGTCTGTATTATCTATTTCCTAGCATTTCTAGCTTGGTTACTGAGTATGCTTTTTGTAAAATAGACTGATATTTCAGTGCCAGAATTTGTCTAGAGAAAAAATTCAAGCCAAATCTGTGTTTTAGGGCCTGGGAAATGAGAAAAAAAATTTAGGGTCCGTGTTTTAGGCTAAAAAAATTGGGTCGGTTAGGTAACATAAACACAGGTATTTTATTTTTGGACTAATGATTAGTTCTATTTTTTACAGGAAATTATCGACAGGTTAACTACTATTTTACGTGAAAATAAGGATTACGCTGGACTACTGGAATTTTTACAGCCAGTAACCAAGCGAATAGATAATTCTGCTTTACACTACATAGCTGGATATTCTGCTATCATGCAAGGTCAGTTTGATCTAGCTCGAGAACTACTTAAACGAATCATAGATAAAGATTCAGATCCAGATCCAGATATCATGCTCCAAAAGGTGATTTTTTTACACTTTAATAATTAAAATTAATACTGAAATAGATCATTTTTATACCCCCTACATTTCCCTTGAACCGTTAAGCTCAAGTGCTTCAGATTCCTTTAAAATGCCCTGAAACAGACACACAATTACCACCATTGTTATTTATTGGAGAAATTTTGTTAAATAATAAAACAAATACCCACCAGAAAATTCTGACATAAAAGTAAAGTTTTGTACCATGACATCTAAACACAGTTAGATATGGGACAACAGTTACTGGTTTATTACACACAAGCGCAGTGTTTCAATAAGTATCCTCTTATTTTTATCGTTAGGCCTATACTTGAAATGAAATGGGGTTCTACGTCCTACTTTTCTGCTCTGACTGGGCTAATGAAGACGGGTATATGCCATATAATGTGCTATGAGGGAAATTTTGCTCAGACAGCGACACTACAGACCCTCTGTCCATTCTCTGCCAAAGCGGGGATCGAACACGAGACCTCAATCTTACTCACTGAGCCATCTTACTCAATAAACCAATGATAGCTGCCCCATATAACTGTGTTTAATTTTGTTCTGTTTCTAATCGCTAATTGCCAATCAATAACGGATTACATGAAATCTAAATTGGTTTAAAAGAATATGTCAGTTTCATTTTAATACTTTTTGTTAATTTTCTGATTGATTTTGTTTTCCAGGCAACAGATTTATATAATTCAATTGACCAATTTGAAAGTGAAACGAAAAAAATAATGGAGAACAAAATAAGAGACCAGAATCAAAGTGATGACAAAATATAGATACTAAATGTTGAATTAGTTTACATTATTTATTTAGATAATTACTCATTAGCTAGGAGCTGATCCATTCTTGGTATCCTTAGTGGTATCATTCCGGTGGAGTAGAATGTATATATTAAACGAAAGTAAGCATGTCTAAAAATGCTTTTAATGTAGGAAATTATACCAACAATATCATTCGACAAAATCTTTCTTTTGTGGTAAAAAGAAACAAAGTTTTTCTGTGATCCTAAGTCTGACATTTATTGAAAATAAATTTAAACATTTGATATATTTTCTGCTTTAAAGATACATTCCCGGGTACAAACTGGGTGATTTGATGATATATTTGGACTAAAAACATATTCAAACTAGTTAATTTATCATAATTTTGCTTCAAATCCTTCTCAAAACATTGCAATTGTCAGGTAATACCCGACTATAAAAAATGGATCAAAAGAGGTCATGTTTGTGTCACGTGACACAACGGGTGTGATGTCGGAGGAGAAATCATTGCATACACAAGACGATGTTGCCTTTATCGCTGACTATTTATTACAAATATCGAAGCCTATTTAAATTGTCGGATTATCCACGAATTATCCACGTCTAACTCTTCATAAAGTTTATCAACATGTACATCAAGCGCTCAATCTCCGCGTGCAACCTTCAACGTCACGCGTGCTGACACTCCTAATCGTCGGGCTGTCGATTAGGAAAACCTGTACATTTTTGTCTTGTATGCGCTCCATGAGTGTTTTTCAGGGAATCCAGTATTTTTCTAGTAAGATTGGATATTTCTACTTTCCATATATACCAAAATTGCCATACTTTTATTGGAAATAACCACCCGATAAATAAATATATACAGTAAGTGTATATACAGTAATTGTTCTGTATCTTATGTATTAATTGTTTGTTCTGTTCTTGTTTTTGTGTTGTATATGCAGTTGTCCCAACATCCTATATTTTACATTGCCTAGTGCCTATCAAATATTCTCCACCAAATAAAATGATATTAAACTGTTATTATATAAAAAGTAGAAAATGTTTCAAACTTTTCAAAACATTCTATAGAAATATTGTAATATTCTACAGTTATATATGAAATGATTGAAATGAAAAGTTAACATTACTTTTTCATACTTATTTGGGGTTATACTGTAATAGGGAAGTTGGGTGAACTAGTACTTTAATGCGTGTAACCATAAGGTATGTAACTGTGTCAAGGGGGTGTGGTTTTGATTCCTCAATTGTATATGACAAGCAGAAGGGTTGTCTTGTGCATTTTCTCTGAGTCCTCCGGTTTCCTCCAACTGCTATAGATTCCTAAGCACAATAAAATAAAATTGAACCATATGTTGGTACCAGAATGAACTAGTTTGTGTCAAGTGGAAATGAAATGAAATGGAGTATAACATCCTATTGTTGTGCTCAGACTGGGCTAATGAAAACGGGCATATGCCATACAGTGTGCTATGAGGGAAATTTTGCCTAGACACCGGCGCTACGGCCTACTCTTATATCAAATTCTAACTGCCAAGGAATCTTTTACATGCATACCAATGTGTACACAGGCCCTCGGTCCTGCACCACTGACAATGAGGAACCGTGTCGGAAAATTTCAATGAACTTTCTCGGCCAACACAGCGAACACAGGACCCCATTATATTATAATATACATAGATGTATATAAATATTTCGATGATTAGTTACAGTAAACAATTACTTAAAGGGACAATAACACTCTTGCTGGCTTGAAAGCTCCAGAAAATAAATAATATCTCTATCTAAGTACTAGATGTTTAAGTGTCCTACCTGTTGTGTAAATTATCCATTACATCCTATTTTACTTGTCCAGAGGGTTCGAAAATATTTTTAAATCGAAGTTTCATTTGAAAAGGTTTACGTTAGACGTTTCAAACCATTATGTTGAATTTTTCAAATTTTTTAAATAAGGTGTGTTAAGATGAAGTTTGTATCATCAATTAATTGAAATATTCTAAATAAGTACAATTTGTTGACCAGAGTAAAGATTGGGACATATTATTCAGTTACAACAAGAGTGGTATTGAGCCTTTAACTGTAATATTTATATAGGTTTTTATATAGGTATCATTATAAGCCTACACACCATGCAACTATGATTTTATATTTTTTGATATATACATGCATAAAAATTTTTAATTAACTTTTTTCAAATTTTAGTTATTGATATTTATTATATGGAAATTGTTATTGTTCAAGAAAAATACATTGTTGGATTAAAAATGTTTTATTTTTGGCAATATTTGCTCATTTTGACATTGTGGTAATGTTTTTCCTGATTCACTGATTTCCTTCTTCCCTTGCCCCACTTTAAAATTTTAATCCAAAAATTGTGACATGTTTGGCTTTTTGTGGCTATAACGGTAAGATCATCGGACTGTTAAAAAAAACGTTATTGGCCAATAAATTTTATGGATTTAAGCCAAGTCTTTGAGAAAAGATTTACTAGTCTGAATCCATATTTCCTTTCAAAACTGGATTGTCTCTCTTAGACCACAGTCTTAAGCTGCGAGAAATGCTTGATAATCATATCTTTAAAAAGGATGTAGACACATTCAGCAAGTGGAAGTGGTTGGAAAATTGCATTTGCAATAAGTCCGAGATCAAAGCTTTCCAAATTGATTAATTAGTCTCAGTAAAGCTGACAGTTTGCACAAATGTGGGCGCTATTGCTCTTTCGCACCTCTACCACTCTGAAGTAGGGCCTACTACATGCAGTGTCATGTATGACAATGAACCAACCAGTTTGAGTTAGACCTACCGGTTTGGTGAAGGAGAAATTTTGATAACTTTTTTAGAACAGTGCCAATGAATAGAGATTGAGAATGATTGTCTTCATTGGTTTTATGTACTTTGGGATTATACAGTGGTTAAGTCAAAAATATAGACTGTCCAGGTACAATAAAATGATTCGACCATGTTTAGGTCGAGCCAATAGTATAATGGTACAACGCGTTCGAGCTTTGGCTCCTTTGATAAATACTCAAGTATCTCAGGTTAAAGTGCCACTCCAGTATCAGAAGAAGTTAGGTGACGATTATTTAGATATTAGTATAGTTGAACCAAAACAAACGGTTAATCTCGAGTCATGGTCTGCTGATTCCATGTTACCTCAAACAGATACAAATCTTGGAGATGATTTTCTGGTCTTATTACAAGCAACAACAATTAATGAATTAACTCACAAATTGCGTGAAATCCCTGTTGGGTATAAGATACATGTTTTCCAGGATTTTTATCCATTAGCATGGAAAGCTGGAAATCCGTATGAAGTGATTTTTCGAACAACAATTACAAAGTTCATAAAAATGATGGATGATTTTGGACAAGGGAAGTTAACAATGGGGGATGATTTAGAGCTGGTTTCTTTAACAACTGTGCATGCAGTAGGGAGACCATTTACACCATCCACAGAGAGTCACAGAACATTTGATTTTGATACCAGTTCAGGTTCGTTATCAAATCTTGTTTCTTCAAAAAGTCAAATTATGAAACCAGAAAATGAATTAACAGAGAACCAGGATGAAACCAAAGTTAATTCTTCCCAAACTGTTGAATTTTATTTGGGGTCAAAGGAGGAAAGGCTGAAGACTACTAGCAAGAAAGACGTAAAGACCCCCCATGATTACCCTAATACACAGGATGATGAGAAAACAACTGAAGGAAAAATTCAACCTCAAACTATAAAACCTCCTAATATTTTGGTGTTCACTGGTATAAATGATGCTGATGAAAGATATTTAGAAATTAAGGATTTATTAGAACAGTGTATTAACAGAGATGCATATACTATTTATCATTTGAAACAGGATCAGCTTCTGTCAACACCTTGGATGGATAATGTAGCTCTTCTTGTGCTTGCTTGCAAGGATGCTGCCAAAAATACTGATTCTGATGATATTTTTTGTAATTTCTTCCAAAAAGGTGGAAATATTTTAAGCTTTGGGTCATCTTTTGAAAACTGTTTAATAGATGTTTTGCCTTCATCCTCTCAAAATGTAAACATTCAATTTAGCTACAAAAATTGGAAAGATATTCATGGAATGTCATCAAAGTTCCATTACAGAAGAGATGGTCAAAAACTATCAAATGCTGTGTCCCAAATATTAGGTGAAAATGATGAAAATAATGAAGGACTAATTGCTCTAATAACCTCAGACAAGAGTAAATCGGTTCTTATTCAACTCTACTTGGACAAAGATCCTGTTAATCTGTCATTGACATCAAGCGAGTTTAAATCCTTGAAACAGTCCAATAAGTCACGGATGGAAATTTTACAAGATATCATTATGATGTTAGACGTCAACTGCTCTTCAGGCACCCTGCCAGATCTAACACCAGCGTACTTGTTAACATCGAGCAAAGATTTTATGGATTCATTTCTAAAATGTTTTAATCAAGTAGCTAAGAATAAAAGTATTAAAGGTAAAAGTGTGACGCTTCAGCTTGTAGAGGATGAATCTACATTGAAGCCTACTGATTCACACTTGCCATTAATAGCTACTTCAACAACCAGGGAGTTCCACTATTTTGCATCTGATGTTTACTGGAAGAACCTTACATCAAGTTGTTTAGGTCAAGTTCTAATTTATACGGATGTCATACCAACCACAATGTCCCTCTTTGATGGTTTTATGTTCTCTGTACCTGAAAATATCGGTGCTGTGGCCATTGCTGGACGCCAGACTTCTGGTAGAGGAAGGGGGGGTAACTCATGGTTAAGTCCTGTTGGTTGTGCCATGTTCAGCGTTCATGTTCAAATTGATAAAGACTCTGGGCTTGGTGGAAAAATTACTTTTTTACAGCATATTATGTCCTTGGCAGTTGTTCAGAGTGTGCGCTCACTACCAGGATGTGGGGACCTCCCTTTGAAGTTAAAATGGCCCAATGACATCTATTATGAAAGAAGTATTAAATTAGGAGGGGTCATTGTTAATTGCTCAGTGGTGGGTTCAACTATCCATGCTATAATCGGTTGTGGGTTTAACGTATCTAATAGTAATCCAACAATTTGTATAAATGATATCATTTCCCAATACAATAAGGAGCATAAAACCACCATTTCAATGTGTCGACCAGAACAGTTGATAGCAAGAACCATTTCCAACACAGAAAAGTTGATTCAATTGTTCCAGTCGCAGGGACATCAGGCATTCTGTGAATTGTATTATAAAAATTGGATACACAGCAGTGAAAGAGTTCAGGTTGAAAGTTTGGATTTTTCACTGGTAACCGTCAGTGGACTAGATGAATTTGGATTTTTGGAAGTGAAAAAGGATGATGGTAGTGTTTTCAGCCTACAACCAGATGGCAATAGTTTTGACATTATGCACAACCTTATTGCTATCAAAAAATTTTAAAATTATTACAAATTAAAAAATGTGTAAATTAGAAAGCTATAATTTAATCTTCCTAATGGTGCCTTAAAGTGCAATCTGATTAAAATACAGATCTATATTTTGTTTCGCTTTTTATACTTTCGATGGCCTACACTACATGAAGATCTGACCAGTTGTTTTGTGAGGTCACGTCAGAAGTCATATGAGCGGCTTTTGACCCTATGTCAGATATTTGATTAACCAGTCAGCATTGATGTTTCTAGTGGATTACCCACAGTCCCATGCAGCTCATGCCAAAAGTTCGCTGTAACAGACCGTTTCATTAGCTAATCTCTTACATCATCCAGAACGTAGGTTATATAACAACTCTTCCAGATCCTAGTGTAGTAAATACAAGTAAAATGAAATTTTACTATAAAAACGAAACGAAATAGGATCTGTGTTTTAATCAGATTGCTTAAAGTTGAGGAAATGAATTCAAAATTATCTGTTAATTGAATTTCCTGTATTTACATTCTCTGTGATTAAAAGTATTATATTAACTCTGTTCCCTTCCCAATCTGTATGAACATTACAGGTACATCCTGAACATATTGAGCAGAGCAGACTGATGACATACTGCTGTCATTGGTTAATAAAAAAAACAAAAAAAAAATTTCAGTATCCAGATTAGTTGTATGTCACAAGTGGAAATGTTGGGAACCTCTTAGTCAAAACCCAATTCCACTAACATAAATTTGTTTTCTTTAAAGGACAGTATTGGTGTCAATCATTATCACATCTTATGTGATAGAACTGGTTCAACACGTTCCAAATATAATTTTAACACAGAGATCATTGCTACGATAGATGCGTAATCATAGTTTCAACAATCGGAAGTGACAAACGCAAAATGAAAACACGAGTTATCCCTCTATATAACTGATGGAAGTGACGAGTGATAACAGATACATGGGCGAATTTCTGCTCACTAATAATTCCTTCGAAGACCAAAAGTTGTTATACGAGACTGTAAGAGAATACCTGACAATTTAAAAAAGTAATTGAATGTCATTAGATAAGACAACACGAGAAAAATAGAAATAGTCTGTGCATTCCCATGTTTTCATTAACCAGTTCTATCACATATGTGATAATGACTGGCACTAATATTGTCCTTTAATTGAGCAAGACTTGTAATTTTGCATGTAATTACTAATAACATTTACTATTCCAGAAAACTGTCTATATTAATTTTCATTACGAAAAGAGAACAAAAAACCTACAAAAATTTAACAAACAAATCATTTATTTTAAAAATATCAATCTGGCATTGTTTTACAATATAATTATAAACATTCAACAAATATGAAAGACAGATGTCATTTGATGACTAACATGCATATGAATCACCCTTCCTCATAGACACAGCTTGATGCTCTTCTCACTTTAAAGGGGCACAAGCATTTTTGTCAAGTAGTAAATAACAATAAATAGAAATAAAAACTGATTGTTCTTATTCATAACCATGGTTTTAGGGTGGGGTGTAAAAAGGCTGTCCACCAGGTTCTGGTGTGTTACTCACTGGATTTAGGTAATCAAGTCTATACAGGGACAGGTCCAGGTGGGTAGTGAAAGGCTAAATCCCTTTTAGACAATGGCTGTAAATGCAAAAGAGGGTGTTGCTACGCAACCATGATACATATATGGTATGAATAATAATGGTGTGATTATTTATCATGATACATCTTTACACAGATACATTTCAACAGTCAAAATCATTAACTCATAATTCTGATAAATCTATAACAATGCTTTACTGGAATTTCAGTTCTTCCCCCTGCAGCATCACAAGTATTCTCCCATTTCAATCTTTGAAAAATTCAGGTCTTTCTCCTCCATTTCAAGATTTCAAAATACCCATCTTTGTCACTGAAAGTCTAGCCCCTAAACTAACATGAGAAAATTTAACCAATATTTATGTAATATTTTATACCAATGAGATAAAGGTTGCTCAAGATTTCAATATGACAGTCGATGGGATCTGCATTTTTAACAAAAGGCGTAACAGGTGATTTCAAATCAACAGAAATTATTGGTGGGCCAATGACCATACTGCTAAATGTTCGCAGGAATGATCCATCATCAAACATAGGATGCCCCCACGACAGAAGTTTGGTATGGGAAGTTGGTTTCGTTTTTCATCTGGACCATTTTTTAAAGTCCTTATTATGGTGTTTCCTCTATAATTTATCCATTATATCCTAAGAGTCACCACTTCATGTAGCAGTGATTAGAGAGAGAGAGAGATAAATGGGGTCATTTCGGGACTAACATAAGGTTCAATTTTATATCAATAATTGGCTTGTGCATCTGAGTATTTAGCAGTGGGAGGACCTGAAGAAAATCCATGCAGGTGGACAGGCAACCCTACTCCTTGTCACATAAACCGGGGAATCGAAACCACACCAGTTGACTCAATGACAGACAGTATGATACAACATGCACGCGCTAACCATTCGGACATCCAACCAGTGATTAGAGAATATTTTGAAAATAAGCATACAAGAGGACCTTAGAACATGATAAGCTGGTGCAGTGAAAACAAAATGACCCAAACCAAACTATTGTCAATCAGGATGACTTATGCTTCATGAAGGATTTTATCGAATAATGTGACATGTTTTACTTGGGCTACTGTTCAATGAAGATTCAAAGTATTCAAGGTAATTTCATTATTATAGAGTGTCTATTGTGATTTTCATTTCACTAACAACTTGTCGATTAGATTCACAATTTTTAATTGTTCATGAATAAAGATCGCAATTACATTATATAATAATAAAATTATTTCTCAACCGTTTAATCTTCAAAATACAAACCTGTAATTAAATTACAGATATTGTGTCTACAACAGCCTTTGTTCATTTCTCCAGAAACTGCATTCTGTAGGAATCTTTTCCATTCCAGCATGGTCCAATTCCCAGATTAGCAGTTCCATGTTGTTTCCTACAAAATGTAAACTAAAAATTAAGGCATTCACACAAATATAATGTCGCTAATCGCTATGTCTGAAGGAGAATGTCTGAAGGAGAATATAATACTCTTGTGTACCTTAATAAATATTATGAAATGAGAGTTGGCAGTTGATTGGATTAGAATCAACTAGCAAAATTTTTCCTAAAATTATATAACATTAAGACCATTATAATGATTAGAAAAAGGTTACTAAATGCATACAATATTTTTAAATAAATACATATAAGACTTCTGATCCAATATTAATTGAACCAATTTAAAAATCACGTTATAAATTATAATAATATAATCATCAGCAGGGGGCTTCACAAGGAAAGACTTGTCCACGTAAATAAACCAAGTAAAAAAACAAATCTTATATCCGATTATTAATCACGAGGAAGTGATGGGTGGTTTACTTTTAAGACCTGAGAAAAAGTTCCCTAATCCTAACACATCATCGTCCGTAAAATTATCTCGATTTTCTGGAAAATGTTCACTATCATAACTGTTTTCATTACAACTGGGCGGGTTCACAACTAAAACGGAGTTTCTTCTTGACCCAGTTATTTTCACTGGCGTCGCGATACGGTTTTCAACACTTTGTAGTAACTGCGTAGTTCTAGATTTTACCGTTGGTATTTTTAAAACTGTTTTACTTCTTTTAATTTTCTTCGATTCTAAGTTCTTCAATCTAGTTAGGTCATTTTTTAAACGTTTGATAGTACAATCTAAGAGAACATTCACACGATAGCCGGACACATGGTTTTTGCTATATTTTTTCCCTTCCACTTCTTCAATAAGTTTGACCAATGTTGAAACATTTTGCGATGGTATTCCCATTGATACAGCTGATTATCAAAACCTTTGAGGATCTCAAACCTTTGTGATCTAACTTACAAAATAATAATAATTCTTCTGTGAGTTATTCCCAATATTCACCAGGAATTCCCCGACTGATCAACTGTTGTTCAATATATCAGTATTCTCGAGTATCATCTGCCCACTATATACGTCATCATTTCAGTGACGCGTTTCTCCTCGCCCACGCTATTTTGACATGTATTCATACGCGCTTTTTAAAATGGGTTATTGTTGTTGACTGATTAGTCACACAATTAAGATATGGGATTAGAATTGGATAAGTTATTATGAAACTTTTCCTCTTTTGATCATTTTTTTTAAATCAATCGATTACACAATTTGGTAGCCTGGCTTCATATGTTCAATCAACATCCTAATCAGTCGCAAATCGTTTACTTTAACTTTCAAAGATGTGTTAAACATGCACTACCATTTTTATATTGATATAATTAGTGTCTGTACTGTAATTAACACAAACTGAACGATTCGCGGTTGATTGAAATAAAGCCAGACTACCAAATTGTGTATTCAATTGATTTAAAAAAAAAGGTATGGCCAAAAAAAAAAAAAAAGAAAAAGAAAAAAAAAGAAGGAAAACTCACCAATAATAAATCCTGATTTTACCCCATGATATCCGAAAGCCAAAAAATCTTTCCGGTTGAAATCTGAATAAAAAAAACCCTTCTCAAACAATCTAGCTACGAGCTAGTGTGCAAAACCCTGGGTTTGCCAAATATTTTAGCCTTTCTCTCATTGATTATAGCTTGTTTCCGAATCCATATAATTTATTATGTATTGTATATGTGTGTAATTTATATACAGTTTAAACCATTGATGCAGCACTGCAGATACCCCAGTTTTTTTTTTAAAAAAACAAGTAAACAGTGTGGCTGACGTCCCCCGCCGAAATCCCAAAATAAATAGATGACACATATTAATTAAATAGCACATTTAATTTTTTCAAGACTATCAATTAAGCAATCAAACTGATTCATGGGCGCAGATCCCAGTGGGGACACCGGGATGCGTCCCCACCAATATTCCTAGTGGTGGGGACATGATATATATACTGTACGTCCCCACCACTTATTTCCGATGTTTTTGCTTACTGTTTATTTTTTTTAATTGAAATCATTCCAGAGCTTTTATTGACATTTCAGAAAGTGTAGGCACTTTTTTTTTTTAACAATATTTATTCGATCAATATTTACATATAAAGAGACAATATTTAATTATAGGATCTGAAAACAAGCCGGAGCTTATATAAATCCATTTCCCGTAATAAATTATTTACAGACATATAAATACATTGTTTATAATTACAATCACAATTTACATAAGGTTATAATTACAAAAGCAAAACATATTTATTCTCACTTGATGAAAATGTATAAAATACTTTATATACATAGGTTATAATGTGGTTAGCGACACGATTAATGGTGTGGTGATAGTGTGGCACTTGAGGCCAGGGTCCTTGAAGTTGTACAGCTGCACCCGGTGACCGATTTTTATTTAACAGGGAATAAGTGATAATTCATATTATAACAGTTAATAATTAAAATATTCCATAGGGATTATAATAATATGTATATCATGTCTAGGTGTGCATATCTGATACGCTGGGTATTAAAGGGTTAAGAAATAACTGAGATTTTGTTTTTATCTGGTATACTGGATGTAAAATGTTACATTTATTTCAGTTGGGATTGAATTGATGTTTAGCTGTGTGTGTGACTTGGTTTAGTTTATATAAATTAAAAGATTTGTAGGCCTGTACATTTGTGTACCCAATTGAATACACATTTTGCTCAAAGACTTCAGTAGTCTTCGAACACTACTGGGAATGGAGGCGGAGCTGGAATCTCAGTAGTGTAAATATTTCTAGTTCTTGTAGTGTACATGAGAGAATAAATCGTGAACGGTGGCTTGAAGATTTGTCTTTAGATTAGATTTCGTACCATTTGCTGCCTCAGGGATTAGAATTGTTTGCCAGAAAATGATGCTGAAAATACCCACAGAGTGCGTTTTAAAGCGTCTAGATAAAAAATTTCGGTGGAAGAACCCCCCTTTTTACCAATAGTCGCCCGCGCATGGACTGTCCCCACCACTAAGTTTTGGCGATCTGCGCCCCTGAACTGATTATCAACTATATACACTAAGTTTCATCACTCTCTATCAGATAGAATCAAGATTATCTTGTCCCAAAGCATCGGCCAAAGAAATTGCTTAGCTCTGCTTAGCTTTAACTCGAAATGTTAATCAATGAACTCCATTAAGGCATTCACCTAATGAACGCCTACACCAAGTTTCAACATTCTACCTCAATTAGAAGGAGAGTTATTGTGTTCCAAAGTCTCAACCAATCAAATTGCTTATCGCTCTGCTTACCCTGAGCAGAAAATGTTCATTATCGAACTTAGTCAAGGTATTGATATGATGATAAAACTATACATTAAATTTCATCACTCTCACTTAATTAGAACTAAAGTTATCGTGCCCCAAAGCATCGACCAATCAAATTGCTTATCTCTGCTTACCCTAAGCAGAAAATGCTCATCTTTGACCTCCATCAAGGTATTGACCAATATATAATAAACACCTATACCAAGTTTGAACATTCTAGCTCATTTAGAAGGAGAGTTATTGTGTCCCAAAAAGTGTGACCGACAGACAGCAGACAGACAGACGAACTCATTTTAATAGTCCCCTGCTTTCATCGAAAGATGGGGGGGGGGACAATAAATTTGGAGAAGGACCCCACCCCTATGGTCAATTGTATCCTGCGTCCATAGGCACACACATCAAGATGTGCACTATTGACTTTATTTGGAATGGGGTAGCAAAAAAAACAGGTTTTAAAGTCTTGGAGATAGCATTAAATGAAGCCAAAATGAAATGAAAGAAATGGGGTTTAACGTCCTACTGTTCTGCTCCTAAACTAGGCTAATGAAGACGTGCATACACCATACAGTGTGCTATGAGGGAAATTTTGCCCGGGCAGTGGCGCTAGGGCCTACTCGTATATCGAATTCCAACTGCCAAGGGATCTTTTACGTGCATGCCAATATGTACACAGGACCTCAGTTTTTCGTCCCATCTGAACGACTAGACAGCTGTCCTTGTCAGGCCCTCCGCCCTGCATCACTGACAAGGGGATAAATGGAGCCAAAATTTGAGTCGATCTAGCAAAATCACATCTTAGACCCAAGTACCTCGACCTGCATAGCAAATTTTGGCCATGGCCTTAGAGTATGGTAAGCACAGGGACAATAAAGAAGTTAATGATCACAGAGTATAGTGGTCCTTTTTATAGTCTTAGATGTATTGGTAAGATTGCTGCTTGATACTTTAGAAAGCGAGAGAAAGAGAGCAAAATGGGGTTTTACGTCCACTCGACACAAACTAGGTCATTTCTGGACTAACATGGTTCAATTTTATTTCCACAATTCACTTGCGCGTAGGGGACTTTAGCAATGGGGGAAAACCGAAGGAGCCGGAGAAAATCCACCATGTACAGTCAGTTGTTCAGTTCAAATCAATTCTCATGCATGGGTGAAAGTGTGTGCGAGTGGGGGCTCTTCGTCACAGTAACTGGCTTAAGAGTACATAGAGTGTGTGTGTGTGTGTGTGTGTGGGGGGGGGGGGTCCTTTTCATAGTCTTGGATGAATTTGTGAGACTGCTGCTTATCACAACTTATCACAACTATTGACAACACAGTCCTTATAATTCTGAACGTTTTAAGCGACATTCTTGTAACTACTTGTAAATTGTGGAAGAACCAGAATATGATTTCTTACTTTAAGATATATATGTAAGATTTAGATAAAGAGCTAGCCATTCTTACTCTTATAGTTCGAAAATAGATAATGTAAAATGAATAATTTGAAAATTTCATTCAAATTACTCTATTGCGAGCGAAGATATTAGCCTTTGAAGGTTTGACAAGATGTGTGCAATAATTTCAACCACCATACTGGTTGTTCAAAGCTAAGTCTCGCTCCTCCATTTTTAGCTTAAATCAAAATATGGCTGAACTGTTCTAATCTATTTAATATCGGAGAAATCTGATGCCATCGAGAGTTGATTATGGCCTGGATAAGTTAATTAATGTCTAATTAATAATTTAGAAAATATTTCAGGCCTAAAAAAAGATCTGCAATTGGCAGATTTAGCTCTTGCATAATGTATGTTTAAGAACACGTCTAAAACAGTTGGAATGCATATGTGTCTCTCACTCTCCAGTCAACAAATGTTCTAATCATAGTCACAGGTCACTGCATGGGTCATCAGGGTCAATTGCTGTAATCCGTCCATCTTATTTATTACGCCAGTTAAAAACCTCTGTATCTTAACACATAGATTTGTTATCATATTAGTATTAGTCACTAATATGATCTATAATTATCAATGTGTACACCCGCAATAGTATTATGCGGTTAGTAGGATGGTTTAGTATAGATAAACAATGAAATGGGGTTTGACAGCCTACTTCTCTGCTCTGACTGGGCTAATGAAGACAGGCATTGGCCATGCACCATGCTGTTGTATCTATGAGGGAAATTTGTTCGAATTCCAACTGTCAAGGGTTCTTTTGTGTACACAGTACTTCGTTCCATCCAAACGATTATACGTTGTCCGTGTCAGACCCTGCGTCCAAACCGAACAAAACTGCCAAGTGTGAATCACACCAGAAAACCTGATGAACTGTCTCGGTCAACACATGGGTCTAACATGGGACTTCCCAGTTAGTGTGCCGACACCTTAATAACTGAGCCACTATGACTCCCATAGACAAACAAGCACTTAACCATGTTACATAGGCTTAATAATAGAGATATTCAAAAATAACAATTTTACTAAACATTATTACCCACATTCATTGATAATGTTTATTGTCTTACAGATAGCCATGTGTTCGCTAACTGGAAGAATACAAATACATGTAAATAAATTCAATTTATTGATTTGGGTGATTATGTTAATAATGTCTTTCAGTCTTAGTGGAAAGGAGAGTCAGGTTAATGGAATTTATTAGATGTTATTCACTTCTGTACCATATTGTGTTGCTATAGACTGAGAAATATAGTGCCAATATTCCCTTCGAATTGTATCATACTCTTCTGCCAGCAATTTACATAACTCTAATACTTTTTTCAATACTTCTTCTTTATTTCCTTCGCGTAGTTCCAGTAAATTTTCCTGAATATCAACCATACATGCTAACAGATATGGTGACCTATAGTGAGTATCATATAATTCACTACAGAAGTCCATTAGACCTGGATATTTAGATAAATCTCGGTCACTGAGTACACCTTTCAAATAGTTCCAAGCACTTTCATTACCAGGGGCTTTTCTAATATTGTCCTGTGCATATTTAGATTCACGCTGAACTACTTCATCTGTAAAACCAGTGGTATTTTTTATTACAAAATATCGCTGATTCCAGGCAGAATTATTTCTTACATCGTCTTTCAGCAATTTCTCAATGTACACCAGCTCTTTATCCCATTGATCAAACTCTTGAATAACCCATTGTCTATGCTGCCAAGCGTGGTAATTTTTAGCATCTTGACGAAGAATCTTTTCTGTAAACCACAACTCTAACGATGGATCTCTTAGCCAATCTACAATCACTCTTCTATGGTGCCAAACTTGATAATTCTTTGGATTATCTTCAATAACTTCTGATATATATTTCAATTCAACCGACAGATCAGATTTTAATTCTTTTAGAATTACTCTTCTGTAATGCCAAACAGTGTAGTTAGCAGAATTAAGTTCGGCGGCATCTTTTGTCAAGTGCAGAGCTCTTTCACTTCTTTCATCAGCAGAAACAACAGCTCGAAAATAGTCATAAACATCCCTGAACTTCTCGGAATAAGCGATCTGAACCACTGGGTGGGGTCCATCGTCCTGTGGGATTGGGGTAACATCCTTCCATTCTTGCTTATCCCTGTAGAAGGTCCAAGCGTCTCCACAAGCGTTTTCATCAGAGCTACTTTCAGACATTTTCAATTTAATCGATTCATGAAAACGACCGTCACTGCGTTGATAATCATAACATTAAACATGTTGTTTCGGCCATATATACGCCAAATCGGAAATAGATGCCTCGTCGCCGTCCGTGTGTGCAGACAGCTCGACCCTCAGAATGATTTTCCATGTTTGTGTTCCCTTTTATTCATCCCATGATACAATCAGATATATTTTTATAGACCCATATATGGACTACCCGAATGGAAGCATATACCCCAATTATGGAGACCTGAGTTGTGAATTAATATGAAGAAAACCATCTCTCCTGCCCCATCAGATCGCATTTCATTTTCTGAACGCAGATCAACTTTTCCGGCCCAAATTTGCGATTCTATATATTATTTTCCCTAGAATAATTTGTCATACCCATCAATATTTTATATTTTATTTTAAATTTTGTTTGCAGTTTATTATTAAATATTATGATGTACTGTGTGACGAAAAGTCTCTAGTCGAATTCATGTAAGGGGTCTTTTCACCCTTGAGAGACGAAGAACGACTTTAAATCAAACATCTATCCGCAGATAATATAATCCCATGATTCAGATACTATTGTCCCTAAACTTTAAAAGATAGTAATGCACTTATATTTAAGATAAAATTTGTTATATTTTCGCAATTTATTTTCAATCTCAATTTGCACTTTGATATGAAAATACGGCTCTTTGATATTGCCCTTCGACACAGAAACTAGCTCAAACCAGTTTTAACCAGTTCCATCTAAAAATAGCGCGAACGCGGTGTACCGTACAGAGGAACGAACCACTGGCTGTATTGGCCAACGGCTTCACAATATAAAATTAAATAAAAATACACCGTTACACGAAATTGAAAGAGAATGATGTTATCCGCGATTATTAAAGTATAAATAATGGAAAAAGTTATTTATTGCATGGAAACCGATTATGTCTAAGAATTAAAGGCGGAAAAATCAAAAATAAACCGGTTTCAAACAGCTGTTATTATCCGATATAGATGTTTTGTCAAATTTAATGTTTCTTAAGTTACCGATAAATCCCCACCCCGCCATTTCTTGTAAAATAAAATACGATATTTTGCAAGAATTATATCTAATTATGGTTACATTAAAGAATCGACAAAGAAAGAAAATGTTAAATGAATGTTAGTCGATCAGGCCTGTGTTCAATGTGTACATGAATCACATTTTTGAAAAGGAAATATATGATATATTTCTCTCAGTGAAAGTACCATTTCCAGACCGCGCCGTTGAATTTTCGAACAGAGGGTATATGCTTTTTGGGGCACATTCCAATTTTCTTTAAAATGGTAGGCCTACATCTGGTCTCGGGAGCATCATTTTATGACCAGTGGAGCGGGAGTTAGCACGATATTTAGTTTTAAAAGCGGTTTGGCTAGCTAGACCCGAATATTAACATTCACCTCAACCAACAAAAGCTGGAAACACGTTTTATTGAAACAGAATAATTAAGCGGGTTTTTTTTTATTTTTTTTATTTTTATATATACTGTCATTTAGAGAGGGCGTTGGGTGGGGTGTGTTTAATTTCTGTGGTGTGATGTGCTGTTAAGAGCAGTATGAGGCCTAGCTGGTAGTAGCAGGCTATAGTATCTATTGCCTGGACATTTTTATAGTGTCCATGGCTAGTAGAGCAATAATTTTATCTCAAACACCGGTATTGTAAGCATATATATTTCTAGAAATAAAATCTCGTGTGTCTATATACTTTAAATTAAGGACCATGTGAGAATAATATCTTTCATCTTAACAACAATAAATATCTTCATGGATCAAAAGGGCCGGCGAGAATGAAGTTGAACTGCATATTCAGAAATTTCCGACGAATTCGGTTCCTATAAAAAAATAAAAAAAAAAAATCACAAATAGTAATTGGGTCATATTAAAGGCGCGCAGCAGCTTTTTCTTGATGTGATGTAAACCAACATTAATTAACATTTGGATTAATGAACGGATTACTATGAAAACAGTGAGACTAAGAAATCCATTATGTAAGCTGACTTTATTTTAGTGTCATGACGTAATAATTCCGCTTATCTCGCGAACAATGTTTCTTAGGCCACACTTACTATTAAAGTTGTTTTACAGACTTAGAAAGGAAAAAAATGAAAATAATTTATAAATGATAATGTTACAATAAAAAGAAAGAATTAAGCAATCCCCATTTTTAAACTAATAATGTCCCCTTTTCAGGCTGTCTGTATATATTAACCTTCTATTTTGTTAAACAATAATATTATTTAAAGGGGAAAAAAAGATTTTATTATCTCATTTTCAAAAATATTAAATATCTTCCTTTTTCATGTGTGTCACGGACGTTAAACCCCATTTCATTTGCACGCAGTATTGGCATATTTTGAAAAAAAAAGTTACTTGTTATAATTTTTCTTATGAACTAATATATAATTACATGTTGTCAGAAACTGGTACGTTCTAGACACTTCCCGATAGTATGAAAAGCAAAGAATATGGCCTTATGTTTATTCATCAAATGCGTAGGAATATACAGGTCATAATAACCTAGGTACTACTTATCGCGTATGAATTTAATGCAAAATAGAAAAAAAACAAATCAAACATTTTGGATGATATTTGTTCAATAAAAGAACATGTAACATAAAACGAAAACATAAAACAAATACAAGCTCCCGGAAAAATCTCAGTTATATCAAGCATTAGGTCTTGAATCACAGAACTTTATATTAGTGTGTATGAATAATAGAGGTGAAAAGTCTTCATTATATAAGGTTTGCAGACGCTGTCGTTTAGCAGACCGGATGAGTTGCTAGGAGAGGAAGAGGTGTACTTAGTAAAGGGCAAAGAAAGGCCGTTTCAGTTGGTTGTGTACAAATTGGGTTTGATAAATTTTGATTGTTGGTTATAAGAACGTTTGATATAAGTTGGTTTGTATTGTTGAAATATGAGTTACGGTAACAAATTAGCTAGATTTCTATCAAAAAATGGCATTGTAAAACGAAATATTGTAAAATCAAGATGGCTGACAAACGTAATACGCAATTCATCAAACCGTTTTGTTTACGATTGCGGTTTAGTAGGATCGTAGTACAAATACTTTACTCATTTGTTTTTTTAACGAAGAAATTTCGAAGCAAGATCTAATTACTCTCTAGGAATAATATCAGTTTAATGTTCTAGACTAGTGTATTGTCTGAATATGGTTGGGTTGTTGACAAAAATAGCGTAGCCAAAATGGCGACTGATACTTTAGACCAACAGTGCAACTGTTGTAAGGTGGTAGCATCTCTAGTAGTGATTAATCTAAATATTAATAAGCGTTAAAACTACGATATTGATTAAAATTTTGTAATTTTACTCTTAATTTAGGTAACTTAATTGAGTAGCTGCTATTTGAATGATTATTTTAACATACTTTGGTATTTGGTCAATGTGAGATAGCTAGGCTAACCGGTAAAGTCCACACCATGAATTTTATTAAGATGTGCGTTGATTTGAGCGGAATCTGTAAGTATGCAAACAAGGTCCCAAAAAAACCATTGCTGGTCCAAGCTGGCGTGGTTACATTTTAAAGAGGCTGTAAAATAGCGGGAAGTGGTCAGTAGTAGTACCGAAAGCGTGTCTTCACGGCGATAGAGGTATATGAATGAGACTAAGATCACCACCTAAGGGTGGTGTGAGGTCAGAAAGTGGTTTTTGCCATGTTTGAGCATTAACCAAATCCATCAGGTGTGCTTATCCATCGAAAAATATGAATGTTTGCTAAAATCATATCGAGGTATTGAATTTTATTTTCCTACGTTATGCATTTAAAAATTTGAGTAAATGTGGTTGAATTGACATAAATAGTGCTATGTTTTTGTGGAATTTTTTTTACAATATAATATTACATGTTGGGACACTGCCATGTTTGAGCAATGTCCAGGACGAATCGATTGGCCGCGCAGTCCAGCTCACGGCTTTTATACATATAAAGCAACAGGTAGTATACATAAAAAAAATATGTAACAAGTGATTAGTATTGCTTATTTCTATTGACTTGAAAACCTTTTCTCCACTGTATGGCATTTCGTGTTTTATTTATATGGTTAATGGACTTGTGCTTATTTAACATTTCTATGATCTTTCTAATGTTTGTCATGTGTATGTTAATGTAGAAGAAAATATTACATCACTATTTTATTTACTACTAGTAAACTTCACATTTTACTCTGCCTTGTAGGGGAAGTAGTAACAGGTAATATTTGACGGGTATCTGGCTGCCTGCCATTTTTTTCATTAAATTTAATTAAGAATCCCGTCTTGTAGCTTATGAGACTTTGCCATGTTTGAGCATCGTCTGACTGAAAATTACTGTTTGTCCTAGTAAATATACATATATATGCACATTGTTATGTAAATATTGTAGAGGTGGGTGGTTTGTTCACTAACCGTAAATTTCAGTAACTAGTGCCTCCTGTGTGTAACAACCAGACATAATAGTATCTTCCATGCAAGCACCCTCTGTTATCCTGAATCAAGATTCCTGTCATCCTAATGTACAATTCTACACATTTAAATGGTTCTGCCTTGGTTTATGGACAAGCACTTGCCACTTGGTAATGAAGATTAAACATTTTTTTGCTTAGCGTTTCTTTTTAACCATGTAGATTGGTTATTGTATACATGTTTTGTGAAGAACAATTCCGATTTTTTATAAAAAAAGTGAAGTGTAAAGGGTTGTAGATGAAATTTGTGACATAGGCATAAAATTAAATAGGTTATGAATTTAAACAAATTAAACAGATTTTTGGTACATTGATAATTGTCACTTTCGAGTCCAAATTTATCCATTGCTTTGCATGTATACAAAAACTATACTCATAATTTTAATCTTTTGAAGGTGTTTAATTAAGGTCGATCTAGCAATTTTCTAAATGCTTTTAATGTTACATATTTTATAGTTAGTTCGATGCATGTACATTTTTATTTAACTTCATTGAAAGGAGATCAAGAGTCATAAGATATAACCATCTAAAATTGTACGGTTACTTTATCTTTCATCTTAAATGGTACACTGATTTGTACAAGCTATTGT